CATCGCACTCCCAACTCCCTCCACTCTCTCCCCATTTTTCTTCCATCTCCTCTCCCCTCACCTCCCTACCTGGTTCTCTCCTCCCCCTCTCATCCTCAACCTGATCCTCTCCACCACACACACACACACCCATGATTTTTATTAGTTCTTATTTTATAGTTTTATCATATAATTTCTTTATTTCTCAACCACATTACAGTACAGGTATATATATATATATATATATATATATATATATATATATATATATATATATATATATATATATATATATATATATATATATATATATATATATATATACACACACACACACACACAGTAGTACCCCGCTTAACACGGTAAATTGAACCCACAGGGTACCGTGATAAGTGAAAACAGCGTTATGTGAACAACAGAACATATGGGATTAATTCCAATAGAGACTGGCCCGACCCCCAAACTCCACTTTTTGACGACACACAACTATGTTGTAGTAAAAATTTTATCTTAACTTTATGATGGTATGAGCAAACAAGTAATATAGAAGAGGTTAGGTTTGGAAAAATAAAAGTTAAGTTAGGAAAAATAAAGGTTAGGTTAAGAAAACTTAAAGTTATGTTGAACACTTACGTTAGTAGAAGAGATGGGTCGGCATACGGGGATGGAGGCTGGTTCCGAGGCAGAAGGCAGATTACTGGCCCTCAGGTGAATCACCATTACTAGGTGCATCACCATCACTGTCACTTACAGTTGTCAGGGCTTCCCTGACAAATCCCTCAAAGTCACTTTCACTGTCACTATCACTGGCTCTGGCTGGCTATGGTGGGTTGCGGGCGAAGAACTCGGTAATGCTTTTTAGACGGCTAGTGTTAATGTTGTCTTGATACACCGTGATGTACGGCTCCATAGCCTGCACCAGCCGGGTATGGAAGACTTCATAGCGGTCATCGTCATTGTCGCGGGAAAGGAAAGACTTCATTTTTTCTGCACACTCCATGGCACCCTTAATATCACTATGACTTAACTTGTCTTCTTCGGAGAATGACGCACCTTCTTCCTCTTCACTGACGTGCTCATCTTCCAACATCTCGTTGGCAGTCACTTCAGGATCTCTGATCACCTCCAGGATGTCTTCGTTGGTGGTCTCGGAGAAGCCTTCAGCTGTAATATTGTGCGCAGCTTCTCTGGCAAGGTCCACTGCTACTGCAACAGTCTGAACCTCACCAGTGACAGGTTGACTCCTCCTCTCAGCTGGTATGCCATGCAACACATGTCTCCATGCGTGACGAATCGTAGCAATAGACAGCTGACCCCATGCCTCCACCAAGAAGTCTACAGCTTGTTTGACGATAAACTTCTTCCAAAACTGTTTGACGAGAACTTCTTGAGTCGCCACCTCTTGTTCCTTGTCCTCGTCGCTTTTACTCTTGCTGTCGGTGTCATCCATCTTACGCAACTCATCCTTGGTGTTGGTAGAGTCGTTCAGGAGCTTGAACTTCTTTGCAGAGTACGCAGCTTTCACATTGCAGATCAACTCCTGGTCCATGGGCTGGATTAATGACGTAGTGTTGGGAGGAAGGAAGACCACTTTTACGTTGGGGTGACGATCCATAAGTAGGGGCTAGTGTCCAGGTGCATTGTCAAGGAGCAACAAAATGTTGAATGGAACATTCTGTTGCTCGCAGAATTTCTTCACGTCGGGAACAAAACAGTCGTCAAACCAGAAAAGGGACAGAGAAGAGGACATCCACGCCTTACGTGCGGTTAGCCAGTGGACATTAAGCTTGTTCATGTCCATATTCTTGTAGGCGTGGGGCTTGCGGGCTGTGTGAATCACCGATAACTTTGGTTTACAGGTACCGGAGGCATTGGTGGTAAAGAGGACGGTGATGCGTTCCTTCTGCAACTTCCGACCCCTTACCTTGCTGGCAGACTGGACAACGAAGGTCTTGGAAGGTAGCTTTTTCCAGAAAAGACCAGATTCGTCCATATTAAACACCTGGTCATCAGTGTACTGTCCTTCCTCCATAACCTCACGTAAGAACGGAGGAAAATCTCTAGCCGCCACACGGTCAGCACTCGCTTCCTCACCACCAATGTTGGTGTTGGTGATCTTGTTCCTCTTCTTAAACCTATGCAGCCAACCAGAGGAAGCATTGAAGGGTTTGGGCTCTGCAATTCCCAGCTTACGTGACACTACTGCGTACAGTTCACGTGCGTACTCCTGCACTGAGCGCGTGTCCACCGCCATGTTGCGTCGTGCCTGACGAATCAAATAACTCACCAACAAATTTTCCACCTTTACCAGCACCCTGTTCTGGCAATACTTGATCATTGAAGCACCTGCAGACTTTGTGATTTTCATGTGTTCTTTAATCTTGGCTGAATCCTTCTTAATAGTGCGAATCGTAGATTCGTTGACGCCATGCCGGCGCGAGAGATCAGCTTGAAGTGTTCCTTTCTCCAAATCTTGAATGATCTGGTATTTCACTTCGTAGCTTAGGCCACGGCGTGTCTTCTTGGGCTTAGGGCGGCTGGGTCCAGGTAAGGAAAGGTTTCTCTCTGGTGGCGGTGGTGGTCCGCCGGAAGCCATTTCACAGAACAATGGATGCACGTATACACGGGGTGGCCTGGAGGGATGAAACTACCGCGGCAGCGTGCTCTTTCCTTCCTCCCTCCCTCCCCGGGTGGACACGTCTTATTACTTTAAACCAATTACAGCTAGCAGCAGAGGGGGGTAGGGATGCATGGCCAATCACAGTCCGATATGTCATATGACATCAGTGATAACGCAACAAAGACACACACTGCGCAACCTTACAGCGCGGCTTGCCCAGGCGGAGGGAGGCGGAGGCGGAGGCGGGAGGGGAGGGAGGGGGGAGGAGGAGGAGGCAAGGCAGGCGGGAGCAGCGGGTGGCGGGAATCTAAAAATAGCGTCTCGAGCCGGACACTCTGCGCGTATATGGGTAGATGAACCGCGTTAAGTGAAAGTTCGGTTCTGGCGAGGCACCGCGTATATGCGAAATCGCGTTAAGCAGGGTATTACTGTGTATGTATGTATGTATATGGGTGATTTAAGGGATTTTCAAGGGTAATTTTTATGACTTTTTTTTTTGGCCTCTTTAGAATGTAACCCCCGGGTAAGAATCGACACGAATATACTGACATGTTATCCATCATCTCTTTGTGTGAATACCGATGCAAAGTATTCATTTAAGGCATCAGCTGTTTGTCTGTCATCCTACAGGGGTCATGTTTTCTTCCCTAAAAGGGCTAAGAGTATCCTTGGTTTTTATTTTACTCCTGGTATACACATAAAAGGTCTTGGGATGATTTTAATATATTGGGCTAGTTTCATTTCAAAGTGTCATTTGGCTGATCTAATTTTATGAATGGCCACATTTAGGGCTCTTTTGTATACAGTAATACATAATCTACATGATGCCCTGTACTCTAATATTTCTTCCACATCTCGTATTTTTTCTTGCAGGCTTTCATAGATTTGTGATTCATCCACCTGGTTTTATTCCCTCTCCTTCTTTTCCGGGGTATACATTCCTCTATTGTTATCTCAAGGATTTCCATAAAGTCTTGTATTGTTTTATCTATTTCTGATTCCTTTTTAATTATTTCTTCCCAGTTCCTTCTCTGTAGTTTTGGCTTATGAGCTGGTAATCTCCATGGTTGAACTCATAGTCATTGTCCTTCAACTAGTTTCTCTTGACATCTTAGTATGTAGTGGTCACTGGTTGGAGTTATTTTCTCCCCAATGTGGACCCCATCCACCATAGCCTCCTCAGTCGTCGAGACTTATCCAGAATGTTGTCTCCCCTTGTAGGTTCCAGTATGTGTTGCATGAGGAATGAGTCTTGAATGAGACCAAGGAATTCTTCTCTCTCGGCTTGTGTGGTAATATTCGCCCATTGTATCCTCTCATAATTAAAATCTTCCATGATGAGGGGCCTATGCTTTGGATGCTGTCTGAATGACTGAAGATTCATTACTTCCCCCTCCAATACTAAGTCAGCCCTATAGCACTCACCTACTGTCAGTTTGCTTTTGTATTGAGCTATCAAATCGCATGATGATCCCATTTCATTTAGCTCATCATTACTGATTACTATTAGGTGTTCCTTGACATACAGTAGTACACCACTACCTCTCGTGGTAGTCTTTTCTGCGACAAACCTTCGTGACCTCAAAACTCACTAATTCCAACGATGTCTGCTTGTTCTGTGTCCACATATGCATTCAATATATCAGAATATGTCATTTTTGTACTAACACTTGTTTGGCCCTGTGTCTTGCTCAGTATTGTCCTCATTGAATACAGTGGGTCTTGAAGGTTAGTAAAATCACTCTATGTATTGCCTGTGATTTTGTTCTCTTTTAGTTAGCAGCATAACTTGAAGCTACAGCATGCACTATTTTAACATTATTTACAGTTAGTTTGCCTCTTACCCCTATTAGTGGGAGGGCTGGAACATTACTTCAGGTTCTACACCTACCCTGACTAATTGGCCTCTTCTGATCTTTAGTTGAGCATTCCCATATTGTGGGTCACTGTGTAGCTCTTTCATTTTATCCCAGAGCTCTTGCAGCTTTGTTGCCTGAATGTGGCAATGCTGCTACAGGTATTATGATTTCCTCAGTTTAGCTTCAGGGTAATGTTTCATCTCGTCAGTTTACAAGTAAATATTCATCACTGTGTGTTGAAATGCACATAATATAATGAAAATATGCTATGCACCATACAGTATTGCAGGGTCTAAAGTTGTCTTTTTGTCGTTAATATGTTTTATAGTCAGCGAGATCTTCACACTCTGACAATTACTTACTGTACTCTCCATTTAATTCCCATGTGTGAGTGAATTATTTATGAAGTGTAGAGATAACACAAATGTAACAATTTGTCATTTCTATGAGTAAGGCTGAAATAAGAAATGCATGGAGCAATCACAATAATTATTAAATGTACTAACTTATCCTAATAATGAAAAACAGAACTGATGCTTTACCATACAAGAAGTAGTCATCCTCTTTTCAAATTCTTCACGGATGTTGTTGTACTTTTCGACGAGAGAACGGTATTCATCGTGAGCTTTCCTCAATTTGGCTTCAGCTTTCTCTACATCTTTGGATGATGCACCATCTCTCCGCACCTTCTCTAGATCCTATAAAAACAAGTAATGATATGCCAACAACCATCAATACCCTGCAAACTTATTCATATTATATAATATTATTAATAGAAAAGACATCCAATTCCTTGTACAGGTATTTCTTTGCTAAAGGAGAAACTCTAAACTTATACTGGAACACATGAATGCCACCTCTTTATTGGCCAAGGCTGCAGTGTTACCCTTGCCTGTTCATGTATACAGTATACACAAGTTAAAAAACTGACAAATCCACAACTGTAGTTCATCAATTCATCAATTCATCAATTTGAGGGGGACTGTTTTTAAACTCAGTACTGTACTGTATGTTTCCTCCCCACAGTACAAAGATGTGCAACTACTGGAGTTTACTTGTCAGATTACAAGAGAAACAAGAAATATCAATGTTAATTTAATGAAAATAACAGTAAGTGGGTAATTTACGATTAGCTCAGGTAGTAGTGACCCTGCCTTGCCAGCTAAGAGGTTAATTGGTAGTCCTACATATAATACCCAATTCCTACTCAGTAAAAGTGGGTTGGTGATAGAAAGGGCATCCAGCCATAAAATTTTAATCACATTTGCCTCATGGTAATCAAAGATAACCTGGAAAATGGCTGTCAAATGGTGATGATGATAAAAGAAACCATCAATTTCCTGTCTCAAAGTTTGTGATATCAATACAGTTTACCAAGGTGAGAGAATCTTGATAAAACTTTCCAATTCTACAACACCTTTTATACATGACGGCTGCTAGGGACAAAAAACAACAATGTACATGTGGTACAATTTCCCTGAACAAAATTTTACACCTTAAAAAATACAGTATAGTCTGGATTTACACGGATTTTGTTTACACGTTTGGTCATTTACGTGGTGCCTTGCAAGAATGAAATGTTTTATTTATGCGGTAAATTTCATCATTTACGCGGGAAGATGCGCGGGCAGGGTGCGCACAAGGTCGCCCAGTCATCAAAACATTACCGAGTTCTTCACCCGCCACCCACCACAGCCGGCCCAAGTCAGTGATAGTGAGGATATGGACCTTGAGGGGTTTGACAAAGAGGCCCTGCAAGCCTCTGTGGTGGATAGTGATACAATTGATACAAGTGAGGGCCAATAATCTACCCTCTGCCTCGGAACCAACCCCCCCATCACCGTGTGCCCACCCATCTTTTCTACTAACGTAAGTGTTAAAAAACCTAATATTATTGATATTTTTCTTAAATATTAATTGTGTGTGCATACCATCATAAAATTAAGATGTTATTTTTACTACAACATACGTATTGTGTCGGAAAAAGTGTAGTTTGGGGGTCGGCCCAGTCTCTATTTCAATTAATTCTATATGTTCTGTTATTTCGTTTACGCGTTTCTAGTTTTACGTGGACCCCCATGGGTTCAATTGACCGCGTAAATGCAGACTACAGTAATACCCCGATTTACGCAGTCAATTGAACCCGCGGAGTAGCGCGTAAAACGAGAAACGCGTAAATGGAATAACAGAACATATGGGATTAATTGAAATAGACTGGGCCGACTCCCAAACTCCACTTTTTCTGAAACAATACCGACATAATACCTACATTGTAGTAAAAATAGCATCTTAATTTTATGATGGTATGCACACACAATTAATATTTAAGAGAAATACAGTCGCCAGGTTAATGTCCATTCAAATAATGGACTCAACTCCCCCCCCCCACCCTTGCTGGCTCCTCCCTCTCTGAGAAATGCTTGGGTGAAAACACTAGATTTTAAGGTATAGTAATAAATAATACCTCAGACTAAAGTTAGGATAATATAATTGACATTGCTGGATTCCTTGCAAGGCCAGGAATATTTTGAATATACAGTAAACGTCATATATTTTCCACAAAAGATAAAATTTTGGCTTTGTAATCAAAATTCTTTAATTAAATCTAAAATTTGTATGTTTAATGCAAATTCCATGATGTTTATATTTAAAATAATCAAAATCTTATAAGAATTCTAGCAATGTAAATTATATTCTAACCCGGTAATTTGTATGAATTTTATGAGCTAATACAAATATCTTCAGTAAATCAACAAATTATACTTCACCCGCGTAAATGAGTAAATTCACCGCATAAATCGGGCATCCCGGTTCTGGCAAGGTACCGCGTAAATGACCAAACGCGTAAACGAGAACCGTGTAAATCGAGGTTCAACTGTATACTGTATTGGGAAAATGTAAAATATGAGTAGGTTTAAAGCTTCTTTTGCCAAAGCTTAACATAAAATGACTACATGTATATGGGACTGTAAAAATAATCCTCATTTTCATTTCAGACATGGCTTTGACTGAGAACAGAGGGCAGTTGCTAGATACTTCCACCATGATCAGCCTAATTATCTCACCACACTATTTAGGAATTTAATTACAGGACAAGTTGGAGGTTACTCTTAAAAAGGCAGTTTCACCTAATATTAAATGCTTAAAAAATATAGATATACATACGGTGTTAAATGACACGTGGATCTTAAAAAAAAAAAAATCTGGTGATTAAATTTACATTTGCCAGCAAAATTTGTTTGTTATCAGTTTGCTGTACAATGAGCCCCAATTACAGATTTTCTGGGAACTGATGGTCCGGCACCTTCTTTAATCCGGACACAATTATGAGGGTGCACTTAACTTCCCTCCCTCCCTCCCAGCCTGGGTGAAGCTAGTTTTAGGCTTAAAGTTTTTATCTTATAAAAAGTAGCTGACTAGACTTAGCAGAATATAAATTGCATTGTTGGAATCCTTGTAAGATAATGATTAATTTGAGTAAAAACATCACATAGTTTGCACAAGAGATATAAATTTTTAGTCTAGTATAGTACAGAACATTTGAGTACAAAGTGTGTACAGTAATGTTGCTCAAAATTATGGCTGTTTCACATTTAATATTTGTTTAATTTAAGTTTCTAGCAGTGCATGGTGCCTTAGTGACACAGGAGGTGTATAATTAGTGAGCCAGAGGTATTGTTGAATTATTATTATTATCTGACCTCGGTTGGTCTGGCAAAACGGATAATGGCAAGGCTTTGGAACCAAGGGTGCCGGAAAATCGGTGGTGTACCTGTACAATGAAAGTACAGTACTGTTAATTAAGTTAAATAGCAATACACTAGAGTTATAACAGAACAGGAATAAAGGATAACGAAAAGTACCATTGCCTATACACTAACAGTATTTTCTCGATTTAACGAACGAATTCAAGCCACCCCTTTCCATTAAATCTAAGTTTCCATTATTTTTGCTCAATTTCGCGAACTAGTTCACCAAATCGATCGTAATTTTGTTGAATTCCATGCCAAATGCGCCACTTGGTGTGTGGGGTTTGTTTACATCTGCCCAGTCTGTATTCTGCCTCCACCGCATCTGTTGATCACTGCTACCTCTCAGTCAACTAACTACTCTGCCTTGACACCATGCCGAAAGTCTCTCAGAAGGGAAGTGGTGTGGGGAAGAAAGTCAAAAGAGTGCAGTTATCAATTGGAAATGTAATAGCCCCTGTTTCATCAACAGAAAGATAATATAAATGGGTTAATTGCATTTGATTTATATACTGATTCACCCCCTATAACTTTCCACTGGCTATGAGGTGGTATGTTCAGAGCACGTGATAAGGCGTGCCCTTGGGAAACCGCGTCATATTATGCCGAGTTAAGGAATTACTTGCTGGTCTTTTTAGCCACCTAAAGCAGGCATTACTACTCAACCCCTCACACAAGAAGGACGTGATTAAACGGTCTATTTATATAGCCCCCGTCCTTCTCTTAATACTCATAGCTACAGTAATTAAGTTACGGTTGATTTACACTCTGGAATTGTATCACCAGCAGTTCCTCAATAAAAGGAGAAACAGACAATTGGGTTTCGCTACTCTAACCCAATATAATATAAATGTACCAGCCTAGTTAACTTCGACAGAACCTATAGTTAACAGGCTATAACATATGGTGGCAGCTAGTGTGGTTGCGAATACAACATTCCGGTCTGAATGCACATTCTACATACCAAGGCGTCAGTGTTTACCGAAACAAGAAAACAATAAACAGTGACGTGTTACATGAAATATCCGAGTGTATTGATATATCCCGTAGTGAGACGATTATAGTTGAGTGTTTTCATTGTCTCCCAAAGTGGTGTGCAGAATTACTGTATTTACAATAACCGATACTGAGTTATTGTTGACTTAATATCTTAGGAGAGGTTGGTAATACCCCTCTCTGGCAACACAGTGTGGCTGGGAAGGAATTGGTGGAATCGGCATTGGCCATCCTGTTTACCGGCGTTTACAGTGTTGCCCCATAACCACAAGTTTCACGGTGTAGTAACACGGGACCTTTCACAAGTGTCTGGACAACTGTTGTGGCTTCGTGATCGATGATTGCAGTTCTTCCGGTGCCCCCGCGAGCCCCTTATAAGCAGGGCTTCTGACAGTTTGGCAGTCAGAAGGTGACATCATATCACCGAGCAGAAGACCTGATTCTTCACCATCAGCACTTTGACATCCTGTGGAAGGAACTCCCCTGTCATTGTAGTGCGTCTGGTGGTTGCTAGTCGACCACACTCAAGAGGAGCAAGCGCCGACCGGCCTTGGGAGGGCGGCAAGACCCACCCACTCACAACACAGCTGTCCAAGTGGGAGGGCCTGAGGTACCCACCCAACTAACTCCCCACCTGGGACCAGCAGTGGATCGCATTTTCTATGCAGACGTCTAACTCCTGCATTAGGTATTTAAAGGTTCACATACTTTATACACACAATTACATACTCGACGACTTATCTTCACACTGTTAGGACATCGAGTAGCCTATATAGTTGTTATAAGTGAATTACTTATTTTCATATGTGCTGACAAAGAGTCATGCTTATTTTCTTTATACTGACGTATTATAATTTCCAGTATCTAGTTCTCATCAGTTCTGCTAATGATACGTTAATTGTTTTAACTATAATTAATATCAGTTTACTGTACATGAGAGGCAAGTGTATTGT